TGTTGAATCTGTGCCACTACGGATTAAGGCAGTTCTGAAGGCAAAAGTGGGTCCAACCCAGTACTAGTAGGGTGTACCTAATAAAGTGGCCAGTGAGTGTAAATTAGAAATTATTCTGCATGAACAAAAATGAACAGTTCTGAGTCTCACAGGCACAACATTCAAACAGAATTTGCACATAAGTCATTATTTAGAATGAGAACTTTAACGAACACTGTTTATCCTGTTTAAAACGTCAACAGACTTTAGCGCTTCGTTTGACACTAAAAGCCTCAAACCTTCAAACACTTCAGCTGAGGCTAAGAATCATCGGCAAAGCAATTAACCTTCTGTCCATCAAGTCACACCAAGCAATCAAAAATAATTCCCCAAGTTTGTCTCAGACAGCAAAAAAAAAAAAAAAATCATTTACAGTAGAGCACACCGAGCTTATACGTGATAACAGTCTCAGGATTCTCCTCACATCTCCAAGAGAAATAAAAAGAATGTGTCTGGGATCTTGAAGAAGGGCAATTGAAAAAAAAAAAAAAAAACAGAAATCAAATCAAAAAAGCTTGCAGCCAGTTGCAGGATTCTCTTGTTTGCTTTTGCTGCTCTTGTTGTTTTCATCTAACAATGCAGCATGAGTGCTTAGCATTTAGATGACATGTTTGAGGAGAGGTGCAGCAGATCAGATCAGATGCACCACATGAAGGCTTTCGCGGATAGCGCCAGACTCGCAGGGCGGAAAGGCAGACGGGCAGGCGGGCACTGGAAAAAGCAGCCCTGCCCATAGGATCACGGGCACTGTCAACACCATTGTGAATGACGCAATGATGAGCCAATCAGCACGGGTGCCAGCGAAATAGCTTAGAGTGCCTTTGTGCATGCCAATGAGTGTAGCGGGTCCAAGAGCCACCGGCTTGCCAATGAAGGACTCACAGTCTTGAGGGGTTAAGAGGTTTTTATAAACACAGAACGAGAAAGTTGGATGCTTCTTTAGCTTGATTTGAGAGTAAAGACTTCAAGAAGAAGCTCTGTGAAGTGCAAAATACAGGGCTGGCTAATTGAATGTGCTTTGGGAGTATGAACTGTTAGCAGGGTTGAACGTGTTGCAGAAAGTCAAAAGTGTTTGACGGTGACTGAGTAAAGTTGCCAACATTAATAACTAGCTATTTTAGTAGAAGCACTGTGTTTTTTGAAAAATATTTTAAGGGTTTTTGGTTCATACTCAAGATTATTTGACTGTATAAAGGTTTTAGAAAGATTAAAAATAAATAAATAAATAAATAAATAAATACTTGCTTTTTCCTCCAGCTATCCATAAAATTAAGTAACCACTTTATTTTGTTTTGCTGGATTTACATTTAAGAAAAATATAAAAACTGCTAAGGTTTCTTTTTATTTTAATATAAAAATGTTGAATTAAATGATTTGCAATAAAGCAAATAAATGTTTTAACCAGTTCATTTTTTCAACAACCTAATACAATTTGATGAATTAATGAGGAAGAATTTGGAAGAAATGTATTTGACCTTTAAATATAAATATTTAACTCAAACCTAAGATTCCAGTACTGTATACGCTCACCGGCCACTTTATTAGGTACACATTACTAAAAACCGGGTTGGACCCCTGTTGGCTTTAGAACTGCCTTTATCCTTCTTGGCATAGATTCAAGGTACTGGAAATATTCCTCAGAGATTTTGGTCCATATTGACATGATGGCATCATGCAGTTGCTGCAGATTTGTCGACTACAGATCCATGATGTGAATCTCCCATTCCACCCCATCCCAAATGTGCTCTATTGGATTGAGATATGGTGACTGTAGAGGCCATTTGTATACAGTGAACTTAATGTCATGTTCAAGAAACCGGTCTGAGATAATTTGCAGTTTATGACATGGTGTGTTGGAAGTAGCCATCAGAAGATGGGTACACTGTGGTCATAAAGGGATGGACATGGTCAGCAACAATACTCAGGTAGGCTGTGGCGTTGCTTAATTGGTACTAATGGGCCCAAAGTGTGCCAAGAAAATATCCACCACACCATTACACCACCACCAGCAGCCTGAACTGTTGATACAAGGCAGGATGAATCCATGCTTTCATGGTGTTGACACCAAATTCTGACCCTACCATCTGAATGTCGCAGCAGAAATCAAGACTCATCAGACCAGGCAACGTTTTTCCAATCTTCTATTGTCCAGTTATGCTGAGTCTGTGTGAATTATAACCTCAGTTTCCTCTTCTAAGCTGACAGGAGTGGCACCTGGTGTGGTCTTCTGTTGCCGTAGAGCAGGGTTTTTCAAAGTCTAAGACAGTGGGCCTCCCTTTTGACACAACTTATCCATTGGCGCCCCCCTCCTCCCAAACACACACACGCAGACACACACACACACACACCAATGCAGACACACACACACACACACACACACACACACACACACACACACATATATATATATATATATATATATATATATATATATATATATATATATATATATATATATATATATATACATATATATATATATATACCGTATATTTAAAGACACAGACAGATGTCAGACTGTTAACTCACTTTTATCATCATTTGCATGAAAGTGCAATTATTTACAGAGTAATAACAAGTATTTTAATATAACGTTTTAAACTAGGATGATGGTTCAATATGAATAGAACAGATCCAAGAACTGTCCATCCCAGTCAAAACAGTTGAAGTTTAGCGGGTCTCATGCTGTCATTAGCCAAAGTATCTTGACAAACCACACATAAAGGTCGTGGTTCATCAGCTGGTCCTGTCCACGTAAATCCTAAACTCAAATACTGATCATCATATCGTCGTCTTTTGGGTTTAAGCCCTGAACTTGAAGGCTTTGAATCGGGGGGTCTCAGAAACCGATCCATTGTATTAGCAGGCATATACCAGAAGCGAATTCACAGCTGTGGCCTTCTGGTTAAAAAAGGTTTTCTTATTTTTGACGTATTATTTTTTTAGCTTTGTTTAATTAAAACGTTTAAATATAATAAAAATACATATAATAATTAAACTTAATAATTATATTTTTATTATATAATATTTTTTCCCGCGCCTCCCCTGACATGTTCCGTCGTCCCCCAGGGGAGGCGCGCCTCACACTTTGAAAACCCCTGCCGTAGAGTGACTTAAATCACCTTTCTTCCCCATTCTTATGCTTGGTTTGAACTGCAGCAGATTGTTTTGACCATGTTTACTTGCCTAAATGCATTGAGTTGCTGCCATGTGATTTGCGTTAATGTGCAGTTGGACAGGTGTACCTAATAATGTGGCCGATGAGTGTATATACTTTGGTTCCTTGATTTTTTCTTGATTTTTCTTTGGTATCTGATTGTGTGTATTTTGCTACTATGGTTACTTGTTGGTTACTTTATGTATCTTGGGTCTTGTGTAGTTTTTCATGTAGAATCAGTGTTTTGGGTTTGCCAAATATAATGTGGAATAAAAATCACTATTATTTATTTCTTATTTACTTTTTCTTTTCCTCTTTTGCTTGATTTTTATTTTTTCTGTTTTTAACAAAGTAGATATTTTAGAGGAACAAATTCAAATCAATAAGTTACTAACAGGTTATTTACAAATTCAAGCAAACATTTTATTTAATATTTAATAATAGTGTGCAACGATTATTAAATATTAGAGTAAAAAATATTAGAGAACTTAAGTATTAGAGAACTTAGAGTAAGACTCTAGGTTCAAATACAGTATGTGACTTATGTGACTTTAGGGTCTGAGAACAGTGTAGCTGTTTTTGTAGCCTGTGCCTTTAAATGTAAATGAGCTGGCTCCCCCTGCCCACTGTTCACAGGTTTCTTCTGTGTTATGTCAGATAAACAGCAGTCAGCGACAGCCGTGGATAAAACAGAGATCCACAATAGTTTATTAGTCAAAATACCAAGTAATACCCAGATGTATGGTAATCTCTGTTTATACAGTTTATTGGCACGACCCATTCGAGTGATGATCTCTTTGTTGCAACCACTGTATATCCAGTGTTTTGAGCTGCTGTGAGTATTGTCTCAACCGTATGACCTCTGCCAGTAGCTCCGCAAGTCTCCCGCATATTCATAGCCGCTCCGTCTGCAAATCACGGTGACGAGTAAATGAGCAGGAGAACAGATCGCAAGAGGCGATTGTCAGGTTAAATAAATAGTTTAGTTAAATAAAATAGATAAATAAACTTTTTCTTATATACTTATTGCAATTAACAGTAGTTTATAGGCCTATTTCCTTTTAATAAAGAAGTAATACATTTACAGTGTAGGTGTGCATTTTAACTTCTTATGCATCAAATATGCCCTCAAAACTTTTTCTTCAGTGAGACATATTAAATGGTTATTCTGTCTTTTGCACTGTTTCTATATTGCATTGTCAATCATTTTCTTTTTTTCAATCTGTTTCATCTATTTTGTTCTGTCAAGTTGCTTCTGACCATGACATGTCCACACTTAATGGTTCTAAGAAGCATGCTTGAGGAATTAAATGCAACATTCTTTATTTATTCTCTTAGATAAGGAGAGATCTCCACTTAACTATCATACTTAGACTGAAAATGTGTTTCATGCATTATAAAGCTTGAAGCATCAGAATTGGTACTCTGTGTCAGTCGATCATAATGACAAGAAATTAGTACTCGGTTGGCTGCAAAAATCCCGATCAAAGCATCTCTAGTATTTAATGTCTAGAAATTAAAAAAAAAAAAAAAAAAAAGAAGAGAGACCTGTTGTGTTTTTATATTACTTATATTTTTATTATCACTATACCTACAAACAGTTCTGTCCAAACAGCTTCCAAAAGTAGATTTTCATCATGGGAGTCCTTTAAGAATCACCCCTGAACAACATGTAATCATATCTAATGTTATTTTAATTATATAAATGTATGAAATGTATTCATGTACATCATGCACAGAGATATCAAAGGTCTAATGAAATATCTAATCACTTTTCATTTATTTTTTGTATTTTTTTTAACAGCCTCTGCCCAAGGAGCCGTCCTAAAGGACTTCAGATTGCGGTGAGGAGGTGAGTGGTGCTTCAGCAAGATTATCTCTCATATTGCACTGTTGGCTTTTCCTTAGTAAGCCATCATTGTCTCTAAATCTAATATGCAATGGCGGTGATCGTCCAGCGAGCCGGTCGGGAGCAGCGCGGTGACCGAACAGCGAGCGCTATCACAGCGTGTGCTTTAAAGCGACATGACAGATACAGAGCGCAGGTACAGAGGTGGAATAAGGCCGAGCAGAAATCGAGTGGAAATCTTATCATTTATCCAGCCAATTGCACGCCGGCGGCGTTGATGAAGTTGTGTTAAGAGTGACGCACCTGATCAGCGGAAGGGCTAAAGCGGGATTAGAGGGCAGCTGGGGGCGTAGGTTCTGCCGGGGATCGGGAGATGAAGGGAGAAGATGATGTTTCGGGACGTGAGCTGAAACCCAAAAGCCCTCGCGCTCTGTGATTGCAGATGGCATGATGCTTGCAAAGAAGGAGATACGGTTATATTTAACAAGATATATTTACATGCCAGCTGTTGTTTGTCTTTCCGTCATGCTCCGAGCGATTCCCAGCGAGTGTATACATGGCTTGGGAAAGACTGATGTGCGGGATAATGTGAGGCCAGGAATTAGCATAAATGTACCTTAATCCTTGAGGCAATTAGCACCTGTCAGTTTTCGAGCAATTGGCATTTCAAGGTGAAATAATTTGCTGAATGATGTTGTATAAGCACCATCCTAAAAATTTATACTGATAATTTAGAACTAAATGACAATTTCTATTTATTTCAAGCAACACAAATAAAACCGTATCAAATGAAAAATAAATCTTTGCAATCTTATCTAAAATAAAATTACTGTACAGTTTAAAGAGGTGGTCCACAGTGTAATTTTAAGGCTTAGTTGCGTTTATAATATGCAAAGCAATGTGTGCTAATGCCTTACTTGTAGAAAACCCCGTTATATTTATATCTTATATATATTATATATATTTATATCTTATATATCTTACTTTGATTAAATAAAGCTACTCAGCTAACATGAAAATGACCACTGAAAGGCCCGCCCTCAAAAGGCTCTGATTGGTCAGCTACCATAATGTGCTGTGATTCACGGATCGGCTCCATGTCACCACATCACGCCCTTGCAAGCACAAGCCTTTGTGCTGTGTAAACAGTCAGTCAGAGTAACTGTTAGCAGCGTTGAATCTCACGCCTGCTCTTTAAAATAAAATGAGAAGTGTCTTTCATATATATTCAGAATAAGCATGTGTAAGTAATATAAAATGTCCTCATATCTTTTGCGAGTTTGTTATTTAAGATGTTGAACGCACAGAAAGCAGCCACATAGAGACACTGCAGCGCTGCTGAGGATTGTGAGTGTTTACAGAGTTTTGACTGATAAATATGAATTTGTAGCTAAAATTGTTAGCGGTGCCAAACAGCATTTCCCTTTGTTTACATCCTTGTTTATTCAATTCAATTCAATTCAGCTTTATTTGTATAGCGCTTTTACAATGTAGATTGTGTCAAAGCAGCTTCACATAAATGGTCATAGTAACTGGAACAGTGTGGTTCAGTAACTGGAACAGTGTGGTTCAGGTTTTAGTGTTTAAGTTCAGTTCAGTTCAGTTTAGCTCAGTTCAGTGTGATTTAATCATTACTGAGAGTTCAAACACTGAAGAGCAAATTCATCGATGCGTAGCTCTACCAATCCTAAACCATGCGAGGCAGTGGCGACAGCGGAGAGGGAAAAAAAACTTCACCTGATGGGAGTGAAGAAAAAAAACCTTGAGAGAACCAGACTCAGTTGGGCACGACCATTTAAATTTTTCCGCTGGCCAAAAGTCTAGTGCAGAACTTCATTCGCCGTGGTTTATGCTGGAAGATGGCCTCAATGAAGACTCGTCTGTCCCTGGAGCGTCGCTGGAATCAGACACATGTTCTCCACTCCCCACGACCATCAGCGCAGCAGAAGCTCAGGATATGGCCTGGTCCCGGATATGGAATCCTTGGGATCATCACGTCGCTGGTCTTGGATCCAATCAGTGACTCCGCCTAATCTGATGACCTCGGGATGAGTATCCCCAGGTGAAAATAGAGAATAAAGAGAATAATTAGCGTAGCTGCTGTTCATAGTTTATATAAGCAAGATGCAGAAGCCAGTGTGGAACCCGCTAGGTGATGCATTGAGTGTATGCTTTTCTAAACAGATAGGTCTTTAATTTTTTATGTCCTCGCTACAACATACTGGTAACGTTAGAAACTATGCACGTAATAGATCAATTTTAGCAAATAAAAATACTTACAGGTTGTGGCTCACACTCCACAGCTTAGTCAGTTAGAGGAGTTTTTAGACGAATCCAGCATTGTACTGTGAGTGATTCTGTAAGCTGTCTTTTGTCAAATGCTAGCTATACATTTTTTTTATAATTCTCTGGAACATAATTCAAATTCAACTGTAAGCACCTTTGTCTTTGTGTTGTGTCATTTGGAAGTCCAAATAAAGAAACAGAACACGCTATGTGGAAATAGCAGCATCTGGACGGCGTTTTAGCTTTCTCTGCTAACACATTACAGCGCCTCTGGCCAAGCCCTTTTGCTGCGTGGGGTGTGCGCTTGTGGAACACGCATAACTGGAAGGCCTTTATGATCTCTCTAGGCCGGATGTATTTTTTTGTAGTCTCCAAACTTCGTTCGCTGTAGGCTTTGCTAAGCTAACTCTGTAAAAACCAATGTCTCTCTTTGCATTGAACTTTGAGCATATTACATTCAGAGATGTTGTTTATGTTTAGACAGATACTTTACACATCAACTAAAGTTTCAAATATTATATTGTCGTGGACCACCCCTTTAAACATCAGTAAATAAGATTAAAATGTTGTATCGATATATTGTTACATTTTTTTATTGATGTTGTTTTATCTAATTTTATGTTATATTTTGACACTCCTGTTATTCAGCAATGTTCAAACTTAACAGTAATTAAATTTTTTAATAATATTGCAAAGATTTATTGTTCATTGATACTAAGCCTATAATTGTCATTCGTGATGGATTCATAAAGCATAAATAATGCTCACTTTAGATTAAAGGTCACAAAACTGCATGAAGTCGAGTTAATAAAGCATTTATTAACATACAAAGTAACGATTAATATATGCCTGAATGTTAAGACATATAAATGTTGATCTGAATAGTTTATTAGTCATTTACTTATTTATTACACACTCTGAATGAACTTAAAAAAACACCAACTATTCGTAAATAACTAGATGGTAAATAATGCAATACTTAAAGGTGCAGTGTGTACGTTTGACACCCAGTGGTTGAACTAGGTATTGCACGCCTGTTTCAAAACACACTCAAGCGCAGGTTGCCAGATTATCAACATCAACAGGAGTGTGCCTGACTATCAAGCCTAAAGACTGATTTAAGGCTGATTTAAACTGCGTTCTAAAAAAAAAAAATCAACGACATGTGATAGAAGGGAATTTTTCCATATCATTAACAAAGTATGAAAACGTGCTTAAAAATCAAGAATACCGCATATGTAGATGTATTACTGACATATATTAATGCTTAATGAATAATGAATGAACTATTTGCTAATGCATAATAATTGATTCCTATTGTGTAGATATTAAAAAGTGTTACCCATATTTTTTTCTCGTTTCTTGCAATATTGAAAAGTGTCCTTTGGGAAACAATGGCTTTTCACGCCAGTGTTATTCCTACAGTCAAAGCTATATTTGAGTTGAACATGCCGCTATTTTGTTGGAAAGCACTTTATTAAAAAGCCGGCCATAAGGGAAGACTTTCTTTATTGAAAAGCTCCATTATAAACGGGTCCGGAGCGAGCACTTAAGGAACATCTCAGAGGGAAGCTGTTGTGTAAAGCCTCTGTGGAGGATTGGAGGCTTTCCCGACTCCGCCATGGTTCTAGGAAATGAAATTTCTCTGTGGCGGTTCTGGTTCGTGTTTAGTGTTTTCTACATTTCCAGCATGTTGCCTCCTCCGGGCCTCAAGAGAACGCTGCATGATTTGCAGACAATCACGCAGAGATGGAGAAACAGCATCAATATTTACATGGAGAGGAAGTGGAATGTAAAAAATTGTGTTCTGATTTTTTTTGCCAATTACATTGATGTGCATTAAAAATTGATTCGGGTTATGTGGGCGAATGCTTGATTGACAAATCCCAATTGCGGGTTATGAATGAGAAGTTCTGGAGGAGGCAAGTCAAACAGCACAGAAAGATTTTATTATTTTTTTAAGGAGGATAACAAAAAAATAATTGCTTAACTGATTTCAATTATTATATTAAGATTAAAGGCTCATTCACAGCACAAACTATTACGTATCATCTGGCGTTTAGATGCTCATTCTCTTTCAGTCTGGTAGATTCTGATATGATTTTTAAATGCAAAATAAAAAAATGCTAATTAAATATTACTTTGTATGACCTGTTCTTATTGAAATAAAAGAATAAATCATCTTTTTATTGCTATAAAAATAATGTATACACTGAAAAAAATTGTTCATTGCAAATTGTTGCAAAAAATGATATAAGCTGAATTAGCTTTATGCTAAACACATTTTGTTGAACATTAAAAAATGTAATTTGTTTGTTTAAATTCAGCACATATAGTTTTTTATTTACTTACCTTTAAAAAATCAGGGTGTCCGCTTGGTCTTAAAAAGTCTTAAATTTACAAAAATATTGTGGTGTGGGTCTTAAATCTTTTTTTTTAACTGGGCTTAATTTTTCTTTGTAATTTTTCACTAAAAATCAGTTGTGTATAACAAATTGCAAATAGAGTAGTTTTTCAGTTATTGTAATTCAAGTACTTCTACTTTTGTGTGGGTACGATTTTAGTGCAGTAGAGGTGTGAGCCTATACTGGTCTTATGGTTCGGTTACGATTATTATGTCTTCGATTTGGTTCAATTCGATATCTCGGTGCATCACGGTGCATTGACAGTGCTTTCCATATACAGTGTTATATTTAAGGGGGAAGGCTATAACAAGC